TTTAATTTTCTTAGAGAATGGAAAAATCTACTTCTGTAAAATGAGAGGCCTTAATAAAATAGGGTATAATTTTGCTAATTGTACCTCTGTTGTAATCCATAGTCCTGCTATAAATTTTGGTTTTAGACAGTTATATTAGTCTTAGAGCTACCCTAAGAAAACACTACAGACCAGGGGGCTTATACGACAGGAATGTACTTCCTCACAGTTCTGGAGATCTGAGATCGAGGTCTCACAGGGTTGTTTTCAGAAGAGGTGCCCTCCTCATCCGAAGGTAGTTGTCCACCTTTTGGCTGTGTCCTCACGCGGCTTGCTTCTGTGCATTGTGTCCTTTTGTGAGGACACCGGTCCTATTGGATCACGGCCCCGTGTTAGGTGCTCATTTAACCTTAATAACCTCCAAAAGCCCTTTCTTCAAACAGTCATGTTGAGCATGATGTCGTCAGCGTATGAATTCTGAGGGACACATTCAGCTGTTAACAACACTCCTCCTCTGTCTTGTTTTGGAAAGGGTGAAGCAGAATGTGTGGAAGCATCCCTGAAGTGTTGATTTAATGTGCAGTCCTGTAGACCTCTTACCATCCTGCCTCTGTGATAGATAGCAAACTCTTCTTTTTCTTTCTTTTTGGAGGGAGAGGGGTGGGAGGAGGTGGCACTGGGGTTTGAACTCAGGGCCTTGTGCTTGCTAGTCAGGTGCTCTACCACTTGAGTCACGCCTCCAGCTCTATTAGTTTTAGTTATTTTTCAGATAGGGTCCCCCACTTTTTCCTAGGCTGGCCTCAGACCATGATCTTCTTACTTATGCCCCCTAGGATTACAGGCATGTCCACCATGCCTGACTGGTTTGTTGAGAGGGAGCCTGCCCCAAACTCTCAGTTTCTTATTTTCTCAACTCTTCTTTACCTATAATGCAGTGACTTTAAATTGTGACCATGTCTCACAGACAGAAACATATTTCTGCGTGTGCATATAACGAACAATTCACAATCCAATGGCTATCCCTGCTAGGAGGTGTGTATTCTATTTTCAATTCCATTTCACTGCTCTTCACACTATTTTCAGATGGAACTTCTTGATATCACTTGAAAGACACTGCTGTACTGCTGGAGCAGGACTGGGTTGTGTGACATGTATCAAATGACTTTCTTTTTCAGTCCTTTGGGGTTGCTGACGTGCATTTCTCTTGCCTTCATTTACGGTATCTGTGAAGCCTATCCTAAGACTTCCCTGCAGAGGAAATTATAGTTTGGAAAATTTCCCTGCCATTTGGCAAGTTTTTCAGGAAATGGACAGTAGGGTGGAAAGGTTTCATCCTAATGATTGTCTTTGCCGAAGACATACACAACTAGGTCTTACGTTCACAGCTAGGCAGGCTAACAAAATCTCCCTGTGGCTTAGCCTCAGGTGTTATGTGCTTATTTTCCCTTTCTAGGTATGGGATTGCTTTTGGCTTAGAATTATCTATCCTTATCTTATATCCTTATACCCCACTATGTGGAAGAATTGCTTTTAAGCATGGAAGTCTAACTTTTTGACGTCTGTCTCCCACCCTAATTCCATGGTGATATATGAAGTTGGGGCTCAATTGTGACTTTATTCTTATAATCTAGAGTTACCAGTTGAGGCCATATGCAGCTGGCTGTTAACTGTTAACCTCTGGGAGCTTTAATGACAGGATGATGAAAACTTTGTATCATAGCATCTGGGAAGTTGGGATCGTGGGGCAAGAGTGAGCTCCCCCTGAGTCAAACACAGAGTAGCTGTCAATGTCTAGCTGTGGAAAGTCCTGGACCTCAGGATTATGTAAATGGAGTTAAAAATTCTTCCTTCTTATGGGAGGGCCCTGGTTTGCCCTTCATTTGACATTTGACCTTGGATGAACATATGAGTCTCCATTTCCTCCCTTCATCTTTAATGCCCATCAGTGGAACAGACAAGAACCACAAAGGTCAGGTCTCTCCCCTCTCTTGCTGCTCACCACTCCTCTTTTTTTTTTTAATAAATGAGGAAGTATACTCAAACATACAGCAAAAGACTGAAGGTCAGTAAGGATATTCCCTCCTGAACTTACTTACTGAACTCAGCATACTGACCAGTTGGTTTTATTATGAGATAATAAAGGATCAAGGCAGAGCCCTGGCTGCCCCAAGGAGTCTGCAGGTTTATAGCTTTGGTGGAACCCAACTTTGTAAAGAATGTGCAACCCTCCCTGTGGCAAGATGCTATGGCCAGCCCACCAGATGAGGAGTGCTCTTTTCACTGTCACCCACACAGCTGCCACCCAGTGCATTAAAGCAGTGGGAGACTCACTCCAGAGGTAGATGTCCACCTGAGCCATGTCAGCACACAATGGCCATAGCTGGCTGTGGAACCAAGCAGACATGCTTGGTCCCAATTCAGGTAGAGAAAGATTAGAAGCTTCAAGAACATCATGCTGTCGAGACTGGAATCATTTGATTTTGTTTTAAAATGAGCTTTCCAACTAGGCTTAGTGGCCCCTTCCTATAATACCAACACTTCCTATAATACCAGCACTTGGGAGACTGGGGCAGGAGGATCAAGAGTTCAAGGCCAGCCAGGCTTCAGCCCACCAGATTACAGGCTTGCATCTGTAATCCTAGCTTCTCAGGAGCAGAGATCAGGAGGATTATGGTTCGAAGCCAGCCTGGGCAAACAGTTTGAAAGACCCTATCTCAAAGACACCCAGCATACAAAAGGGCTGGCAGAGTGGCTCAAGTGATAGAGTACAAGCATGAGGCTCTGAGTTCAAACCCCAGGCAAGCCTAGGCTACAGAGTAAGACCCTATCTCAAAAAAAAAAAAAAAAAGAAAAATGGAGCCAGGCATGGTGGTACGTATACGTGTAATTCCAGCTATGAGGAAGGCAGAGGTAGGAAGGTCACAGTTCAAAGCCTTCCCCTGACAAAAACAAGACTATCTGAAAAATAAGCTAAAGTGAAAGGGACTGAGGGTGTGGCTCAAGTATTTGCAAGGCCCTGAGTTCAAATCCTAATACTGCCAATAATAATAGTAGAAAGTTTTCCTTATCTTGAGAGGTGTGGGGAGACCCTAGATGGGAGGGAGCAAGAGAATCGTGAGCACACCTCTACACCCAGCTCCTAGTTAGCCCTAATTGGACTGCTTTTTGGGGCTTATTGATCCTTAGAGAATAAGACCAGGAGGTGAGACAGAGGGAAGGTAGGAGCATCCCTGGTCACATGCTCTTGGTACAGGGAACAGGGAGCTTAGGCTTGTGAGTAGCGCACTTGTCAGGGAGCACCATGGGGCTTGTCCTCCTGGTGCTGACAAGAAGACTGGCTTTCATGATGAACCAAGGATACTATTTTGGGCAATGTCGTGCCTAAAAATTGGGAGAATACAAGGGAAATTAGTACTGTTGTTTTTCACTCTTAGGTACATCTTTTTATTCCTTCCTTCCCAAACCCCCACTGAGAACAGCAATGCTGATTGAGACATTCTTCATTTGCATGGACCCAAATCCACAACTCCAGAGTGAGGCCTCTGGCACTTTCTTGCATGGAATATAGGTTGAGTATTCCTTATTCAAAATGCTTGGGACCAGAAGTGTTTTAGATTCTCTTGAGTTACTGAATATTTGCACAGACATAGTATCTTGGAAGGGGAGCAAAGTGTAAGCATGAAATTTATTTATGCTTCATTTATACCTTATCCACATAGCCTGAAGGTAATTTTATACCACATTTTCAATTTTGTACATATAACAAATTTTGTGTGCTTTGAGACATCAGAAGTTAGGTATGCAACTTTCCACTTGTGACATCACATCCATGCTCCAAGTTTCAGACTTTGGAACCTTTCAGATTTTGGATTTTTGGATTAGGGATCCTCAACCTGTATCTATGTGATCCTCACATGAATTTTCACTCTGGGAAAGGATGGCTGCAGGTAACCTTTACAGAGAAAGGAAGTTGAATTTTAACAAAATGCATATCTGCTTTTGGGTAAGTGGTTTGTGGCTCTTGTGACCGTCTGCTTCTTAAATTGACTAGCTGATTGTGCACTGTTTTTGGTAGCCCTTGATTTCTCTGAGGTTAGAGTCTATGCTGTGTCCCGTTTTGGAACTGTAGCCAAGCTACACCTACCTCATATACACGTACCCTTTCTTGACCAGGGTATGCTTGCTTCAAGTCAGTGGACTTCACTGAGTATCTGCTATGTGCTGGGCTCCTCTCTAGGAGCTGGGCACAGCCCCTGTCCTTCTCACCAGTGGCGATGGCTTGGGGAGAAATGATCACTATTATTATTATTCCTTGAGAAATAATATAGATGCCTAAAATGACTAAGCTTTTTGTTAATGTGTTGTTAATGCTTCAGTAATATGATGAATGTTTTAGTTGCCTTTAAAAGAAACTAAATTACCTTGTATGATTTTACACTTCGGTGTTTGGTAAACATGTACTGTTAAGACCTCTTTATCCAGGTGTTTAAGGGATATTGCTGTAAATGATATGAAGTATCCTTTTGTAAATCTGTAAATTTCCTAGACAATTGCTCGCTAGATTGAACTAAGCTGGTTGCAAGTGGCGACATCCTTGCATGGCCAACAGGGCTTTGTCTCTGGAACCTGGGCTTTTCTACTTGTTGAGGGACCCTGTTTTCATGGGGGTACAATGAGAGATTGTTCAGAATCTGTCTGCTACTCAGGGCTTGTTCCATGCCAGAATGCCTGTGTAATTATGAATGTTTTTGTCACTTGAGTGGTAGGTGCTCTGAGTGTACTGAAATGGGCAGGATGGCTGTTGTCCCAGGGGCAACCCATTCGTCAGCTGGCCTGTCATGTGGCAGTGGGACTTCTGTTTGCACATCCCTCTGCTATGACAAGGGAGACCACAGCTTCTATAGAAGGTGCCTGCTTTTCTACTGGGGAGCTGGCCCAGGGTAAGAGAGTAACATAAACTCAGGATATGCACTATATTAACTTTTAGTTTCAAATGTCTCTATCTTTCTATTCTAATGTAGGTGCCACTTTAGAGGAAATAAACCAGCACTGGGACTGGCTGGAACAGAATCTCCTCCACACTTTGTCTGTCTTTGATAATAAAGACGACATTGCCAGCTTTGTCAAAGGGAAGGTAAAGGTAGGTCCTTTGATTTTAGCATTTTTCTTTACCTCCCCATCTTTGTCAGAACATCCTGAATGCTGCAGCACACTGACAGCTTTCTCCACCCTGGCTAAACTCTAGCTTAATACATAATGCCAAGTATGTTTGACTTCTCACTTGTCAAATTTTGCAGAGTCAAGTCCAGCAAAATTCCCTGAAATGAAAAGACAAAACAAATGATGTGATTCTGAAGCCTAGTTCCTGTTGTCTTTTACAGAATTGAAGGCCCTTTTTTGTCGTGGGAGAAAATTATAATGTTAAGATTTGTGTTTCCGCAGAGCACACATTATTTGACTCCTTAAATTAGTTATTTCCAACTGTCTTGCAGCTATGACATCTTGTGACATTTTGTTGAGTCTAGTACTTTCCTCCTGTTCATAGTGGATGTTTATTCTTAAAATACGTGAAGTGGAATTAAAACCAATTAAATTTTGAGAAGACAGGAGTGGGATAATTTGGGAGGTATTTGTTTATCCCTTCTGTGAGTTATAGCCTTATGTAACTAGTCTTGTTGCATAGCATGATGGGTAATCGGTGGTTTGAAACCCTACGGGCCAGGAGAGATGGCTCCTCATTCCAAGCCAGACTCATTAAACACTTGAACATGTTAACCCACTATACGGGTTTGCTCCCTTAGAGTAAAGCATCTCAGATCATGGATTTTTGTTTTCTTCAAAAAGCTTGGCTTTCTCACACCTCAGGTGATACACCTATTAGTACAGGGTGTCAGAGTGAATTTTTTATTTTAGAGAAACAGAATAAACATGCCTCTAGGAAGTGGAAATAGAAGGACTACAAGTTCAAGGCCAGCCTGGGCTACATAATGAGGCACTGTCCACAAACAAACCAGTGCTGACTGGTATCCTCTAGGTGAACCCCAGGCCTGTGGGGTCAGGGTAGGCCTGGACCACGGTGAGGGTCCAGGAACATGCCCAACCCTTATGTCCCCTCATCCTGACTGTGACTCCATTCCCTGCATCAGAGGATTAGTGACAGCCATGTCTTTTTCTTTTCACACTTGACCTTGTTAGCAAGGTCTAACAAGGATAGTAGTGGTTTTTTGATTAAGGAGTTCTCTTAATTGGGAGGAAGGAATTCATTTCTGCTACAGCATTTCAGGAATGCTTCTGTAGGAGAAGAAAACTTCTGTCCTCTTAGGATCTGGTGGGGAGTGGGGGGGGAAGCTGGAAATTAAATTGATAAATAGCAAATTAACAAGAAAAAAGTTTATTTTAACACATGCATGATGCATACATGAGGCTGAAACTCAGCCATAGTAACTGCAGGGGTGGTTATAACTTGGCCTGGTATAGCATCTCAAGGAAGAGCCATAGGGGAAAGGATGGTAGGATAGGGGCTTAGGCTTTGGAGGCAATAAACATGGGGTGCTAATGGAAGATAGAGCTGTCTTTGTAAGACTTTCATGGGTTTCTCTGCTGGTGAGAGTCTAGAGCAGTCCCTGGTGACTAACAAATCCTCTTGTACAAATGGAGATATGTCCTGTTTTTAGGCTGATGGGGGGGAGCAGGGAGAGATGACAGAGTCTTTTGGGGTCTATTGTTTATCAGTTGTCTTCAGCTCAAAATAATCCTTATGTCAATGTGGCATATTTGAGGGTGACAGATTCTGATCCCTGATACTTTAAAGCTAAAATGTCTTAAAAAAAAAAAAAAAGACCCCTTTCCCAGTATGGTGGTGCACATCTGTGATCCCAGCACTGGAGAGGCTGAGGCAGGAGGATCACAAGTTCAAGGTAGGCCTCGGCTACATAGTGAGACCCTGTATCGAAAAAGAAGGAAATGAAAGGTTTCCAGGAGGCCGGGCTAGGGAGCAAGGGAGCCTTCAAACAGAACCTGGAGTTTGTTCTCCCTTTTCCTGTGGCCAACCACAGAGGGTCTGGGCTTTCCTACTCGTGGCCCTGGACATTTGCCCAGAATACACAGTGGTAGTGAAATATATTAGGCTTCACAGGGTCCCACGGTTGTTAGGGTAATACCTACTTTTGTTTAAATGCAGTGAGGGAGAGATTCATTAGTATTTTTAAAAGACTAACTTTGAACTCACATTTGGGTAATTCTTCAGGTCTATGCAGTAGGTTCTCATGTAAGAGTTCATTATTTGGTTTTCATGTGTCAGTTAGCTTTCCAGAACTATAACAAATACTGAGATCCTCAGCTTATCGAGAGAAAAGGTTTATTTGACTCACAGGTTTTTTTCAGTCCATGAGAGATTGACCCCATCACTTTGGGCCTGTGATATGACATCACATCATGGTGGGAGCATGCTGCAGAACAGCACTGCTTGTAGTGGCAAGGGAGCAAAGAGAGAAGAGGGGGCTGGGTTCCCAATGTTAAAACCCACCCATAGCTCCCACCTCCCAAAGATTCTACCACTCCCAATGGGCCACACTGGAAATCAGGCCTTCAACACTTGGGACTTTGGGGGACATTTAAGATACAAACTGTAGCATTCCTGTGTGGAAGAACTGGGAGAACTTGGAAAATAATTTGAGAACTGGGTGTTAGAAGTCATATGATTCAACCAAACACTTGTGACCGGTAAAAGGTTGAGTGTCAGACTGGGTATTGTGGAAGTAGCTCAGATTCTGAAGGTGCCTTTACCAGTCCATCCTTCCTGCTTCCTGCCCCTGCCCCTCCACCTTTCCTCTGCCAGACTCAGTGGGTAAGAGACCTCCATCTCTCTGTGCCTTAGGCTTTGATTGCTGAGGAGACCAGCAGCAGGCTTGCAGAGCAGGAGGAGGAGCCTGAGAAGTTTCGAGAAGCCCTGGTGAAGTTCGAGGCCAGGTTCAACTTCCCTGAGGCAGAGAAACTGGTCACCTACTACTCCTGCTGTTGCTGGAAGGGCCGGGTGCCCCGCCAGGGCTGGCTGTACCTCAGCATCAACCACCTCTGCTTCTACTCCTTCTTCCTGGGCAAGGAACGTAAGTGTGACAAGCGAGCTTTTGGTCCTTCACTGATAAAGTCAGCCCTGGAGCTGTCTTAAAAAATTCTAAAATAATAGCATCTTCTACCTGACACAGTATACAGGCTTACAGAAATACGCACTCATTAAGTGTTAACCACATATATTTGTCTTCATCAGCATCTGCTCTGTAATCAGCTGGCCTGATGTACAGATAGTTATGCTTAAGTTTACGTGTTCCAGCTACATTTTTTAATTGCCCATCCCTGAAGGTCACAATTACTGGATGCACTGTTACTACTGGAATTACCTAAAGAGGTCTCTGAATATGTCAATAAATGTGACAAAATGCACTGTCCTGGGCCTTGGATAGCCAAACTCCACTTTCACATTCACACTTCCTTTAAGTGATTTCCCTCACTGTTTCTGGTATCATGAAGCGTAGGTAGCACAATAACTTTCCACTCAACACACTTTCTACTCCCATGGGCTTGAAGTAGTTTGAGGGAGACATGTGATCACTAATACCTCACTCGATGTATGATAAGAACAAACGTGACTTGTCACACCATCGAAATCACAAAAATGAAGAACATACTGTTCCTTCAAAGCAGTTCCATGTTGTTGAAGAAGAGTAGAGAGCTAAGACAGGTATGTGATCACAGGTAGTAAGGATATAATTCTGAATCAGCAACTTGCCAACAGTGATAAATGTGACCTTGGCAGCAGGGGACTGAATATGTGTTGACATGATTACATTGTTGTGCAGTCCAGTTCCCAAGGCTCCTTTCCCATCTCAACTAACTGGGCTCCTCTGCGATCAGCAGTCACGTGATATCTCTTTCCACATTCACCTATTCCCTTTCAAACACATTTCTGCATACAAGCATTCAACTTACAAATGTAAAAGGAAACATTGGCCCACGATGCTCATGAGTGTGACTAAAGAAAATCTCTCTTTCTTCCATGTGTTTCATCAAAGGATTCAGTGATGCCTGGAATTCTCCAGAAGAAGAATAATTTCTTGATGCTTTGAACAAAATTCTCAATAATGGTAAGTGAAAATGGACAAAATTGGGATTGGGTCAATACAAGAGGAATTCCTCTTGTCTGAGTTCAGAACCAAATATGAGGCTGTGCTATGGCTCTGGCAGATGGAGTCACAATTTATAGAGACATCTTGGTTGGGTACTGCAGGTGCTTTACCCCACATCAGGAGAATGTGTAATCCCGGGCCAGGTTGAGGATACTGTAATAGCCTGTGAACCTCTGCTTCTATAAAATGTGAATTCCAGAAGGTCTGTTCTTGGCAGGCACACCAATGCCAGGATGGAGAGGGTGAGTTGACACAGCATCCAGTCCTCCTCCCACTTGTACCAGCAAAGTCCCTTTCTCCTGGGGATGGTGGGGCTTGTGAGGGGCCAAGCACATTCCTGAGGCTAGCCAGAGGAAGGCTGTCCATCCCCTGAGGAGCATGGGCAGGTGCTTCTGTCAGACAGTGACCAAAGTCTCAAATTACTCATCTTATTATGGTGGCAGAAGATTGGCCCCGAAGACAGGATATTCAAATATTCTAGGAACCTTATTCCTATTTTTTCCTTTGAAAAACTGGGAAAAAAAGTCATTGAACTTACAGATATGTGGCCTTTCCTGGGGCAAAGTGTCCAGAGAGGCACACTGGTTCCCTTCCCTGGCTGTATCAGCATGGGGTGGAGGTTGGAGAATGGGAAGAGCTTATTAAAAATCCTTACTCCTGGAATACACCAACAGTCTGTAAAAGTAGAACCCAAGAATCTGCTCATTTTCACACACTCTCTCAGTGACTCTTCTGCAGTCACCAGGAGACAAGTCTCTGTCATTTGGGGACAATGACCTAGATGGCTTGGGATCACAGAATATTCTTTAAAATGACTGTTGCTAATACCCCTAAATTTGTCTCCTCCTGTAAATTGCACACGTTGATTAAAATTCAGCATTCCTTTGGTCCCTGGTATTGCCTGGGGAGAGATGAGTGGACAAATGTATACTGAGGACCACACATGGGCTAGAATGTCTGTATTTCTTTTGCTGCCTGTGCTTTTGGTGTCATATTCAAGAAATTATCCCTAAATGCAATATCATGAAATTTTTGCCACGTGTTTTCGCCTAACAATTTTTGACGTAATTAGTCTGGATTACTCCATTTTCCTATGATCTGACCACCCAGTTTTTTTGTATGTTTTTCCCCATAAAATGTAATATCAACTTGTCTGCCTCTATCAAAAGTCTGCTGGTGTTTTTCTTGGCACTGCATTATGTTTCTAAAGCAAAAGTCACTTTGGCACAGCTGATGTTGAGTCTGCCCAGCCTAGGAATGGGATGTCTTCAAGTATACTTCTGGCTCTTTCAGTGCTTGTCTTATTTTTCCTCATGTATAGTTTTTCACCTATCTTGCTAAACTTTTCCTAAATAATTTTGCTTTTCTGTGTTGTTCCTGTAAGTGGTGACTTCCCTATTATATGTCCTCTACCTGATTAATGTTTTGGTAATAGGAAGGTAGCCAATTTCTGTGTTTTCATTTTATATCTTAGAACCTTACTCGGTAGGTTTGCTGGTATATCATCTGCAAATAGACATGATTTTACTTCTTTATAAATTATTGTTCCTGTCACTGATTTGTGCATCATGTTTAATTTCATTGCTAATATCTCTAGGACACTCCTGAGTAGTAGTGGAGATATAGTTCCATGCTGTCTTATACCTCTCTCAGAGGAAATGTCTCTAGTGTTTTCTGAGTAAGATAGCAGTTATGAGACTAATATGAGAGATTATCTATCTTTCTATTGATCTATTCTATTCAACCATACACACATTGATAGATAGATAGATAGATAGATAGATATAGATATAGATATAGATATACACAGGTACATACATACATATTGAAATTTTTTCTTTCAATTTCTATTTGCTGGAGTACTTTTGAAATCAGGAATTGTAGGGAGTTTTCACAAGCTCCTGTTCCTCCTGAACCTAACTGGGGGTGATGGGAGATGCAGAAAGGACAAACGATAGACAAACATGCATAAAGCTGGGTCCAGGTGTGCTGGGGACTCAGATGGAGACACAGCAGCGTCATTGCTTCCTTTCTCTATAACTCTGACTTCTGTATTCTTTAAGGCCTTACTTCTAAAGTCTTTCTTTAAAGCCTCGCTTCTTTTCTGTTCTTTAAAGTCTCTTTCCTTAGACTTGCTCTGTCCCATATTTTCTGTTTAGCTTTCTTAAAGCCCCTGTGCTCAGACTTGCAAACAAACAACCACAGCTGCATCTACAAACTGCATTAGCATAACTCTTAAAGTCTCAGTCCTTAGACTTGCACTGTCCCATGTTCTCTTTAGTTTTCCTTTAGCTTAGCTTTTCTGAAGCCTATGTATAAAGTTCTCAGTGCAGAAAGCTGCTCTGGTGGAGACACACAGCCAGCAGCAGCAGCAGCAGCCTGTAGCCAGCTAATCAACCCCCCATCAGAAAAAACCCGTCTCCTTCAGCGAGTCTTTTATATCCAGTGATAAACAAGGAGATGGAGCAACAGTTCTCAGGTAGGGGCATGACACTGTAACAAGAGAAACCCGTGTTCCTACTTCTCTGAACGTAAACAACTTAGGAACAGCAGCTGCGCTGCATCCTGCACTCCTCTGCGGCTGGGGCCATGCCAAACTCAGCCTGCCGATTATTGGGCACAGCTGGGCTTATGACAAATTCCCACAGGCTTCTCCTAATCCACTCCCCACGAGGAATGGCTCTTGAATTTTGTATAGGGCCTTTCAGTACCCATGAAACTACATATGATGTTTCCTTAAATCTATTATTATTATGTATGGCATTAATTAGTGTTGAGTCAACCTTGTATTCATGGAATAAACCCCACTTGGTCGTAGTGATGTTTGGTGATGCCCAGTGGCTGGTCACTGTGCATATGTGGATGGAACTGTGATTTGTAACTGTTAAGAATTGGTGCATGTGATCTTTTTCTTTCTTTCACACAGTCTTGTGTTGTAGCCTTGAGCTTGAGATCTCCCAACTAAGCCTCTCAAATGCAGAGATTATGGGCTTGTGCCACCATGTGTGGTTTAAAAAAAAAAAAAAAACAATTTTTTGTTGTAATCAAGCTGTGTGACCAAATTTACAAACTTAACCATTTTAAGTGTACATTTCAATGTTATTAAACATATTCATAATTTTGTGCTACTGTCACTGCCATTTATCTCTATAACTGTTTTCATCTTATAAAACTGAAATTCTATATTCATTAAATAATAGCTCCCATTCCCTCCTCCCAATACTCTTGCTAACCACCATCTTTGTATCTGTTTGTGACTGACTTATTTCACTTAGCATAATGTTCTAGATGCTCATCAATGTAGTATGTATCAGAATTTTCTTTTCTTTTTTTTGGTTGGACTAGGGTTTGTGCTGAGGGCTTTGAGCTTGCAAAACACGTGCTCTCAACACAGGTGCTCTACCGCTTGAGCCACAGCTCCACTTCTTTTGCTATAATTATTTTGGAGAAGGGGTCAAACTATGATCCTCCCAACCTCAGCCTCCCAAGTACACAGTGTTACAGTCATGAGTCACCAACACCTGGCTTATTATTAAAAGCTGAAGAACATTTCATTTTATGTATATACCATATTTTCCTTATTCATTCATTCACTGATGGTCACTTCAGTTGCTCCACATTTTAGCTGTGTATCCCAGGTTGGCCTCAAATTCAGGGTCCTTCTGCTTCTGCTTCTCGAGTGCTGGGATTATAGCTGTGTGCCACCACATGAAGTCCAATGTGTGCATTTTTTCTTTTGTTGCCTGTCTTTGTCTTCATAGGCAATATCCTTTGCTTCATATCCATGAAGCTTTTGCCTTATGTTTAGTTTTATAGTTTTGTGTCTTACTCTTAGATATAGCTCTTTGATCCTTCTTTTTTTTTCTGTAGTTTGAATTCAGGGCCTCACACATGCTAGGCAAACACTCTACCACTGAACTACATCTCCAGTGCTTTGATTCATTTCAAGTTAACTGTTGTATATAGTGTTAGATCAAGATCTACCTTTTTCTGTTTGCATGTGGATATCCAGTTTTCTCAGCACCATTTGTTGCTCCATGTGTAATGGTTTTTCCTGCAAGCGTTAGGTGTGTCCCACCCAGGAGTGTTCATACAGTGCCAGTGCGTCTCAGTCCCTAAAATGTCCCTCAGCTCCTACATAACATAATGCAATTGCTAATTGCTTTTCTATGGTAGTCCATCCATGCCACCAGCCTATTGGATGGTGCTGCCCATATTCAGGGGGAGTCTTTCCCCTCAGTTACTGTCCCACATTATTATTGTCTCTGGAAATGTCCTCACAGACATGTATGGAGGTGTGCTTTACTAATCTCCCAATCCAGTCTAGTTGACAGTCAAGACTAAACTCCATAACTACACCCATAGGCAGATTGCATAACCAATGGAATTTTCTGAATTTGGTGAGACAGAAAGAAAGGAGCAGCAGAGAAGAGTTTTGTCCTTGTTTTAAATAAAAACTTCTTGGTGGTGTTGTGGATCAAACCCAGATCCTATTGCATGTTAGGCATGTGGTCTAACATTGAGCTGTACCCCAGGCTCCCAACTCCATTGTTCTCAAAAGTCTTTGCCGTAGGTCTTCTCACTTCTACAGGGCCTTCTCTTACCATGGGAACTCTCTTCTGTTTTTCTCACCTCCTACAATCTGTGGTTTATTGAACCTTCTCTTTGACTGTGTTGCTGCTTTCCAGCCCATACACACAGCATCTCACCTACCACAGGACAGGCTATAAATCTGTAATAGATTACAACAAAGCCAGCTCCTTCTCCTACAGGACTTCTGTGACCAGTGACTAACACTAATGCTTTCAGTCCTGCTCTGAGCAGAACCACTAGGTTGTCCTTGCATGTGGTCCTTGTTGTGGGTCATCCAGCAGGGATGCACATGGAGTCACTGCTCTGTGTACTCTTCCTGTGTCTTCTCATTTAGATATCCAAAGAAAGAATCAGCTGTGCAGGCTGCTGCTGCAGTTCCTGCAGAAGAACATTGTCATCGCCGCCATCACGATGACGGCAATCCTGTTCTCTGTGTACACGTGGAGGAAACAGCCATTGTGAGTGGCTCTTTGCATTCTCCTTCCTTCCAAGAACTTGTAAGTGTTTGGGCCAATGTTGTTCCCGGAGCTTCCTGAAGATTGCAGATTTAGGAGGTGGGCACAGGGATCTCTTAAGTCTGTTTGTGTTTCATCATCAACCAGTGTGCTCCCAATCATCTGAGCAAATGGTTTCAGGCACTGTCTGGTGATTCTGTTGCACACCCAGCTTTGGGAATCCCTAGCCTGGGCTATGAGGAGCCCAGGTCTGAAATTCAGCTCGTTCACCCTGGTCAGCTGCACTGGTATTAGCATACAGAAGCATGGCTCTACTGATTGGCAAACAGCCACTTCCTAGAACATTCCATGCACTTCCCCATGATGCTGTATGTGAAGGGTTAGTGCCTGGCACCTCAGGGGCCATGAGAGACAAGGCTCCAAAAGTGGTCACTTTGCTCCACTCATTAAATATTCTAATTATCTTTCAGGACAACCAGGTTTAAGCACAGAGACCTGAACCTTGAGCAGGTCCTAGGAAGGAAGTAATTTACACAATCATGCACATGCACAATTGCTTTCAAAATGATGAGCTCATTCTGCATCCCTGGTAACACATGTTGCTGATCACAGAGGCAGCTACACCCAGACCCCTCAGTTTCTCACCAGCACTGTGTTGGGTGCTCAGCTTGTGCCCAGAAAAGGAGATGAGATGTGCAATTAGGAATGTAGTGTCCATCCACTACCTTTACCTCTCCCTCTGGCTCTGAGGCTACAGTATTAAAATTTCTCCATAAGAATGGTATTGCTTTCTCTAAATACCAAGATCCTTAGGACTAATCACACATTCAAGTCAGACACCACTAGCTCACACCCAGAAATGTGAGGAATGGGACCCCTGAAGCAAAGAGGGAGACTTGGGTTTAATAGAAGTTAGAGATACAGGATTTAAGAGCTCCAGAAAAAAAGCTGGGTCCACTTTTCACCTCTGAGCCAGGCTCATCCACTGGACCTGCCATTCTCCTTCCATGCAACTTGAGGTACAAAAAGACATAGTCAAGATGATGGCTATATCCAAAAGAGATGAATCAAAGTTGTGGATGGCCTGGATAGTTATGAGAAAGGGAGGGAGGGAGGAATTTCTCAGAGGCACTGTGCTGTCTAGAAGTAAAATGAATTTCATACTTGACATCATGGTTTGTGTTGTTTTGTTTTAGATATCCCCCAGCAAACATGAAATAGAATATTTTTATAATGAATGGGAAGGCTTGGTGTCAAACCTCTGAAGAAAATAATCTCAGAAAATTTGAGGAAAGGCTAAAGAACTATTCCTATGTCTAAGCTTGGTCAAGGGACCAGCCAAACTGGAGCTCTAAACTCTGATGCAAAAATTCCTTGATCCAGACACTATAGAGAGACAATTAGATTTGTGACTATAAGATGTATTCTATGAAAATTTTTACTTCTCTTCGAGATCGTGAATGAACCAAGAAAGAGAGCTTTGTCATTGGATGGTTACGGTGACAGGGCACCAAGACTGCTGCAAGAGAGTCACATTAACCCCAGATAAACCTGAGAAGTGATGTATTTATGTAATCAATAAAGCAAGCACTGATTTATTTATTCAGTCATTCATTGCACACCTGATATGCAGACACATCAAAATAGAATGAGAGATCCAATGATGAGTCAGGCAAGTACTCTGCACTCTGCAAGATCACAGTGGCGGAGTGAGTTGAGAACATGAATATACCAAATATCTTTATCAAGTCAGAATACAAAACGCATTATACAAACAAACTGGAAAGAATTGTGGGAGCTCACCAGGGAGGGATATTTCCTGCTTGAGTGATCAGGATGGTTTTAACAGGAGAAGGAAATGTGGTACTTGAGAATGTAATGAAAGGGGTTTGTTTATGAAGATGTGAGAGTGTGAGGGGAAGCCAACAAAGAAAGTTGAAGCACCCTAGAACAAGTAAAATATCAAGCTGTTATCATTTGTGGGGGAGCAGTAACAAAGACCAAGGGATCTGGGGATTAGCTCATTGGTAGAGCACTTGCATAGCATGCATTTGGCTCTGGAATCAATCCTTCACCGAATAAAGAAAAAAATAAAGAGAAGAAAAACCCAAGGAAAGTAAGAGAGAACTTTTGACAAGCTGTACCCTTTAGGGAAGGAATATGGGCAAGTTGTAACAATCCACCCGGAAAAGATCAACAGAATTAACACCCTGTGTCCTCCCCTTCGATCTCCTAGAAGTGGCTTTTTTCTGTGTGGTACAGGGGTGGGGGGATTGAACTCAGGGCCTTGTGCTTGCTAGGTAGTATTTGGCCACATGAGCTACTCTAGCAGCCATTTTTATGTTGGTTATTTTTGAGATAGAGTCTCTCTTTATGCTAGGGCCAGCCTGGACTGTGATCCTTCCATTTATGCTTCCCTGCATAGGATGACAGGTGTGCACCACCATTCTCAGCCATTGGTTGAGGTGGGGTCTTGCCAACTTCTTGCACCTGCTAGTCTTGAACTACGATCCTCTGGATCTTCACTTCCCAAGTAACTAAGATTACAGTGGGCCTGGCCTCTACAAGTGACTTCAATTGGCCAATCCCAACAGGAAGCTAGAAGATAAGGAAGTCATTGGTGCAGTTCATCAGCTAGTAGAGAAGAGAGCAGGATGGAAGGAGGGAAAGCAAAAATATCCCACACAGTTATCATTCTGGCACATCTGCATTCATTCTTGTCATTTTATTTATTTAGTGCTGGTCCCTTCTGGAGCAAGAATTCATTGGGCACCCCTATGCCAGGCAGTGTTCTGCTTGGCAAATGCCACCATGGGTGTCTAACGTGCCAACATGAGGGCGTGCTTGCCCTCCTAGAGCTGACTGCTAGGGACTGACTTGTGCGGGCCTGCCCTGGCCTCTGTGCTATAGTTCCTTCCTTGTGAGGTGAGTGTGGCCTTTCCCATTTCAAAGAGATGGGAGGGTGCACATCCGCTGTTCACCCACAGTCTCTGAGAGCTTGGCCAGGGCATGTGATCAAAGAGAGGACAGGTGGCAAGTAGGGTGTAACCATTCCTCTGGATGTCTGCTGCCCTCAGACCCTGTTCTCAGGAAAGTACCCTGAGGAGTGGAGCCCAGTTGAATTCTGGTACTGGTCCTTCCTTGGCCTGCTCTGAACTTCAGCATCCTCATCTTGGCAAAGGGGGCAATAATCCACACGCTTTGCAGGGCTGTTGAGTGGTTCTTTCAGCAGCAAAAATGTATTAAGTACCTGCTGCTTGCCAGGTACTGTGCTAGGCTGAGTGCTGGGGGCACCCAAGAAAGCTGGTGGAACAGCTTTCAGCAGATTGCAGGAGTCTTGAGCTTGGGATGAGATGTGGTTGCAGACCTGTGCATACAGCAGGCACACCATAAATACTGGATACTTCCATGGGCTCTTAACAGGTTGCACGTTCACCCTCACTCCACTCGCTCCAATCTTTCAGGCCCCTTCCCTGAGAGTGTTCACTCTCCTATCGGCCTCCTACAACTACCTAGACTTCCACCTGAGGAACAAGTCAGTCTCATCTGCCTTTAGCCTCTGCTGCATCCTTATCCTTGCCTTGCAGGTGGATCTCTGAGAGTCTGCCAGTGCTGTCTTTTTCATTTGCTTTTTCTGCACCAAAAAGGGGGCTCCTTCTGCTTTGTCTGACCTCTACTTAGTGGGTGGTCCATCCGCCTTGTCCCTAGATCGGTGAGGGTAACCACTGGGCAGCACTGGGGATTTGATGTTCAAGTCCTGTGGAGGCTCTGCATTCCTGTTGCACGTGTTCTGTCACTTCCTAGCTGCTAAACCTTAAGCCTTGGTTTCCTCTTGGCCTCAGTTTTGTGTGTATAAATTGGGACTAGCGTATTTGGTGGGCTTTGAGTACTGGTCTTTCCTGCAATGTTCCAGCAGGTCCCTAGTATTAGAATAAGGCCAGGCACGGAGTAGGTTTCACTGTTAGATAAATAAGAATCCCTGAAAGGTCTCTCTGAGGCAGTCACAGTGCCATGGTGACTTGAAGGTTGCAAAAGGAGGCAACACTTTGAGAAACCCCTACGAATGGGCACAGCACGTAGTCACTGTGGACAATCAATTCTTTTCTGGGTTGAATCAGCTTCGGTTAATTTTTATTTGGGGGAAGGTGTGGTCACTTTCAACCTTCAGAGCTTCCTGAGTTGGCAGCCTGTAGTACTCCATAGTACAGTGGGACTTGCAGTTACTAGCACACTGCAGAAACTGGGAACATCAGGGACCATGATGATGATGGCAGTCAGCCCTGTGAAATAGGTACTGTTGTCACCTGTTTCCTAAATGAGGAAACCAAGGCAGTGAGAGCTCAAGTAACTTTACTCAAGATCCCCCAGTGGTTAGTGGCAGACAGAAAAAACCAAGAAGATAAAAGGCCCTGTTTTTCTGACAACCCAGAGGAAGGCAGTGAGCTTCAGTGTGTGCCAGGTTACCCAGGGCAGCCTGTTGGAGATTGATCGAGTTTTTCTGGAGACTGGAGCCTCCCACAGGCACCACAGGTGTCCCGTTAACTGTGGAGACAAACCTGGTTTCTAGCCTGGTTCCACCACATATGCTTAGGCCACCCAACACTTAAGGACACCTTTTGCCATTGAGCGTGGGCCAGGGGTCACTGCTGAGATTTGTGCCAGTTAATACTGTAGTCTAAGCTTCAAAGTTCCAGTGGCTTGACTGTCCTCCAAGCATTGGGATGTAGTCACTGGGCAAAGGTCTGAGCCTGGGTCTATGGGAAGCTGAGAATTTGTGTTCTAGAATTGTGTTCTCCCACATTCAGATGTTGAAGGCTGACCCCCAGGACTTCAGAATGTGAGTGTGTTTGGAGACAGAGTCTTTAACAGAGAAAATTGAGTTAAAATGAGTTCACTAGGCTGGACTCTCATTGGAGTATGACTGGTGTCCTGTAAAGAGGAGATGTGGACCACAGGTGTGTAGAGAGGGGAGGTGATGTGGAGGCACAGGGAGGAGACGCTGTTTACTGGCCACGTCCTGGAAGAGATCCTTTCCCGGCCAACAACCTTGGTCTCACACTTCTCGTCTCCAGAGCTTGCTAGGATATATTTTCTGTTGGTTAACGCATCCATTTGGTGATCATTTATGTTATGGCAGCCCTAGCAAATGAATATACCTCAATTAAACTACCAGATAGTATAAATAGATTTTTGGGTGTC